CAAAACAAAGCTTGGATGGACAAAGCCGTGTGGGAGCAGTACCTGTGGCTGGTGTTGGCTGAGCGCGTCGAGAAACCATCCGTACTTGTCTTGGACAATCTTGAGTCTCATGTAAGCCCTATTGCAATTCAAACTGCGAACCTGCTTGGATACAATGTCTGTTCAGTACCTGCTAACGCCACTTCTCACTGCCAACCTCTTGATGTCTCCGTAATGGCGCCGTTCAAACGCCATCTTCGAGACCTGTGGATAGCGGAAGACATAGTGGATGGTGACGACAATGAAGATGACTGGTACCTACCGACTGCACGAGTGAAGAGAATGACCTTGATCAACCGAGCCATCAAAGCTTGGGAGTTGATCACCCCAGAGCAAGTTCGTGGTAGCTTCCTTAAGGCCATTCCATTGCCATAATTCATGTGTTTTATCGCCGTTTGGTCAAAACAAAAAATTCAACGCGGTAAAGTCAGTCGCAGATCCACAGACACCGCATATTGTGGGAAATACATGACCGACGATGGCTCCCAGAGTCATGTACGCCCCTCCAGAAACGGGCGCCGTTCCCTCCGATGTCATTCACCGTGTCAACAATCCGCCACAGGCAGTTGGGCTTGACCATCCTCGCGTGTGCAGCATGATGCAGCATCCGCCTCCACCAACGCGATGTGGCAGCCTTCGAGATCACGAGCTTGCTCCGCCAGGCCTCTCAAGCAGGATGTACCGTAGCTCGTGGCACAACGCGCGTGGACATGCCTACATGGGCACATCGATACTCTTTGCTGCATGACAACGCGTCCGTCTTGGAAAGAACGAGTGCATCCCGAGCTTTATATCGACGAACATCGACGCGACGCTTGGTCAGTCGAATCGAAACCACGACAGCGTTTGCCGATGGGCCACAACAAGTCCCGCTTCTTCCATCAACAACGTGTCGGCTTCGTAGCCGAGGTCGCCCCGACTCTTGACAGCATGACTTTTCATATCGTACACCAAGAGAGCACCATCCACGCCGACGACGACATGGTCATCGCCGAGAAACTGCACGGGGAACAGTCGCTTCATCTCTCGAGTCGCGTACGTCGCCACCGGCGAGGCCGGGCGACGAGTGTCCCAGACCAACACGTTCCCGTCAAACCCCGTCGAGACGAGTGTGTGCACGCACTGTGGAGCCCACCAAACACTACAGCAAGATCCACGTCGCCCACTAACAAAACAAGACGAGAACGCACGCGGGCATGTACCTATTTGCCGCGCGTGTGTGGCCCATCAGCGCTACCTCAGCAGCATCCGTGGACGCGTGGCGGCTGTCATGGATGAGGACTGTCATGTCGTTCCCGCAGCTGGCTAAGAGGGCAGGATGGACGGTCGAGAACCGAACACACTTGACGACGCCGCCATGACGATGATACGTGCGAACTGTACACGTGGCGCCATGCCGTGTTCATCAAGACGATGCCACCCGAGGCGACCGAAATGGCATTTAACAGCATGACGTACAATTGAGCGCAAGACGATGTGGCGGTGGACAGCGCGACAGTCCAATCTTTAAACCCCGTCGCGATCATGGCATCGGCGGATTGTTGCGCGTCCACACTGAAAATACCCGCACCATGCAAACTGGACGACGCAGTCACGAGTGTCAGCGCCTACAATTTTCAATTAGATGCAATCGATAGGGCTTGACGAGACGAAGCGATTCGTCGTGGTTTCATGTCAATATCTTTAATATTGACGGCGATATAGACGAAAAAAGATTTGTATATTGTATACTTAACTTTACGTCCCCTTGTTTTCATATTTATTTTAAATTTTCTTGACAGGTTTTGACGGAGTTTTATTGGTCACATTATGTGTCGAATTTCGAAGTATGCCCATCAATCATATTGCCAGAAAGCCCTTTACTTCGATTCTGGGTGTGGCTTAAATTCCCCCGTTCACTGTAATAGCTTCACGCGCGCGGGTGGATCGTATCCATCAAACTTCGCGCGCCAAATGTCATGTTTGGTCAGTAAACACCACATGTTGCACATTGGGAATTACGTTACCCACGGCATCCCCGACAAGTTCTTGGAGGAATTGTTCGACGTCATCCTTGGCATCAGGTAGTCCTAGCTTGACCTAGTTGGTCCTTGTGAGCGTCACCATCCTCACCCAAGTCGTCACCATCATCGTCCATCTGTAAGGTCTACCGGCTCCTGGAACAGGAGTCGGTAGACATCGATTCACACTGCCTTGAGAGTGTCGTCGGTGGCCAGAAATTCCTTGACACCATGGACCGCATTGCAATGACGCATTCCTGGGAACTTCACGGGTCCTGCGGCCGTTTGGAGGTTTAGTGTGAGATCGACGTAGGCATGCGCCTCAAAAGTCGAGTCATTTTTTTGCACGCACACCAACTATCGGCTCTCTGGGCGGGACCACCAACATATCTGGTTGCACAAACAACAATTCACCCACCATGGCCTGGAGAACAATTTTTGGTCGGCGCCAGTGTTATGGCAATACGGCACATCCAACAGATGGTTCAACCGAACCCATCGTTGACTACCATCAAATCTCGGCGCCTCCATCTTGCGCACACGCTTGGCTGTGGTTAGGTCCTTGCGCACCTTGGCCTTAAATCGCTTCACCGCGTTATAGCGCCATTTTCACCTTGGTGAGCGCCTCACCATCGGTCCTCTTCTTGGGGTATTCACGAGGCATATGTCCGGATTCGTTGCATACGAAACATAGGCGACCACGCTCGCCCACGCCAGGCGTAAACACCCGCGGTTTATTCCCCGGCTGTTCTACTTCCTTGGGCACCTGTGTGCGATACTTGGTCGCTGTAGACGTTCCACTTATCCACGCACCACCGGTGCAGGCTTGCCATAGCCTCCCTTGGGTCGCGGCTCGTTGCCTCGTGCTTCTTGCCACTTCTCCACCTCGAGTTCATGCCCTTCGTCTTGAACTGTTACGTCAACCTGTGATTTTCAATCACATCTTGGACCTTCTCCGTGTAGGAGACCAAACGAGCGTTCACATCACCGAATGGGTCCAAACGCAGAAGCTGGCAATGCATTTCCATATCTTCTACAGGATCCACTAAAGTTAACTTTAAACAGTTTCCGCCCCGCGTGCAGCACGATATCCAGATAGGGGAGCGCCGCGTCCCCTGAATCACTGTCTTGATTGAACTACTGCCAAGCGGGCAATCAGAGTTTTTTCGACCGTGTCCCCTACACTCGCTCCTGATTTGTTCCCTTGAGTGACGATTGGCAACCATCGTTCTACAATGGTTACTTTGTACTATAATGGAACCCTTCTATACAACTTGCTTGATTAAGGTGGTGCTCTGTGGTCCGTCACAGGCCCCACCTGTGCGTGGCAGAGCATGGCTGACACCACTGCATACAACCGACTTTGCGCATCACTAGAACGCCTTCATCGCTGGCGTACTTCAAGATCCAACGACGAAGAACTATTGGGATGACTTCATACAATAGCACGGCGGGCACCCAAGAAGATTAGAGTGCATCCAAGCCCTTCCACTTCACGAGCACCTCAGGATTGCCGTCGGTCTTCAACGTAAACCTTTTGTCGCCGAATGCGACGTTATCCAGCAGGTCGACTGTAACGATCAAAGACGCATCACTGAAGAATTTCAGCCGGCTGGCGTGGTTCATCGCGGTTGTATACGGTTCAGCGAGTTGTTGAACTTCCATGACGTAATCGGATTCAACTCGAGAAACCCAATAGTGGCCCTTCCAGTTTAGGGCCAACTTGTTGGGGAATTTGATGACTTTTCCCAAAAGTACATAATTGCAGAGCACAAATTTGGCCATCTTGACATGCGTTCCTTTGCTGTAACGATTCGCGCCTGGTGGTGCAACTTTGCACTTTTAACCGCCACGTCGTGGTGAATATTGTCTATAGCCTTGCGTAAATCGCTCAGAATTTGAGTCGCTCATTCTTCAGTCCATGGTCAGAACCTTCTCCGTACTTGGGTGTACGAACCCAGACAACAAGTTGACGACAGCCCTGGAAATGCCGTCACCGGAGCAATGCCACCCAGCCGGTCGGCCGGTTGATTATTCAATGGGCTCTGCACGACCTTTAGCACAAGTGTACCACTCGTCTGGACGCAACATCATCTCGCTGGTTAGGGTCTCCAACCCTAGCAAAATCAGATGGCTCACCAATTCGACCGTACCATTTGCCCACGATGTATCGGCATCGCGATGTGGCGGTGGGCACCAACAATTTCTTGATCTTGCCCACGACTTCGTTCTTGAAATGGGTCCCCCCATCGGAAACCCATGCTGACACAGTCTCATGTGTCGCGAAACGGTCCATGAGAGTATTCGCTGTACTATCTGCATCAGCCGTTGCTGACGCAAATAGGCGGCAAAATCCACTCAGGTCGACTTTGACAACGAGCACATACTGCCAGCCGTAAGCAGCTTGAGGCAGCTGTAAACAATGGATGATATAGTTCGCTCAGCACGCAACGCGGCTTCCCAGGGCCTTGGTACAATCGTACGATCCCCACACAAAGGCAATGCAAATGGCTGTCCACGAATGACTCGACATCTTTCTTTATGTTGGCCAAATGAATGCGCTGTAAATTCGCACTGATTATATCATAATATAAATATGTCAACACGTCTACTAACGATTCGTGCCTGATCTATTCATTTTTACCATATTGTCAGCCCTCGACAACAACGAACTGTCCTTTTTAATACAATGAGAAATGTAGTCGTATTTCTACGGGGATTTGTATGCTAAACTCGTCGTGAAACGACCCACTGGACGGAATATCTCAATGCTGATCTCCTCCCCACTTTGAATCAGAGCAAATTCTACAATTCAGACAGAGAATCAAATTTTGCAGGTACCGTTTACTTCCAATGACCCATTTCTATTCAATTTAATCAATAATACCTGTACGATTCCAACAGTTGACGGCGGTCGACGAGGTACAGGGAACGACGCTGAATAAGTCCGCGCCAAAAAACTTGGAAAATTTGTTTGAATTATCCAATCAAACGTGATTTAAACAAATGGATGAACTCTATTAGTTAAATATACTCCCGGCAGATTGAAATGAAATATCTATTTTAATGATTAATTACCTGCAAGAACATGGCGTCACAACAACCCATATGTATGAGGATGATTCTTTTTTAAATTATAACCTTGCAGTATTCATATTAAAGATCACAATTATAATTAGATTTTGTCGAAACCTCCAAAGTATGTTGTCTCTGATTGGACAATACTCTCATGCCCTCGGACCAATCACAGATTGGTGTAGCAGTCTTATTTAGTGTTGTTCCCTGTGTTGGAAGGCAACATTCTCACCTTAACATTTGTGTCAGGCCCACTTGGCCAAAAATGCGTACAAGCTCGGCATAAAGCTCATGCTTGTCGACCAGCGACATCCGCAATTTTATGTTTTGAAATGACACTTGCAATATTGAATACTGCGGATTGCAACTTTTGAGTTTCAAAACAATCTCCAAGTTTTATAACACTGACAGTATAAGTTTTCGTAAATTATCGGGTTTGACCTGTTTCAAAGCGGGGGGAGATCAGTGTGACCTTTCGGAATTTCATGCATAACGGGCAGACGGTCAGTCAATTCATATATCGTCGACCTGGTTCCTCCAAGAAACGTCTGTCGAAAAATGCACATTCTAGAGACAAGTACGTTGCCAAGATGCACCCAGCATCACTGCCAGGGTCAATGCAGAGTGTGGTGCACACGGACGAGTTGTATTTCTACCACTCCTACAACCGCCATTGAAACAGCCAGTACGGCCCCTGCGGCACCAAGAACGTTTCCCTGAAGGAACATGTGATGACGATTCTGCTTCATTGCTGGAATCTTGTACGCACCAGACATTCTGCCGGCTGCTGGGCCTGGACATCTTTACGGGCGGAACAACTACGGCGAATGATCCCAGAGTGTATCAGGGTAGACTTAAGCATGAAAACTGTGCTGTGTAAAGTACTTTGGTCACTTCTCGACAAATTGGACTCTCTCGACGTCACGCACATTTGCATAGTCATGGACGATGCCAGGCGCCACAAGGGCCGGTCAGCTGAAACTGCGTCAAGCTGGTTGCGAAGGCCCACCTTAAAGATGAGAGCTGTCGGTACGGGGTCCCGTTCGTGGAGAGCAAGTCAAGACCTGTGGAAAGAGTTGCTGCGCATATACAACTAACATGTGATGCCAGTGATTAATTCCTTGGCATCATGTCGTAGGCATTAAGTCGTGCACGCATCTTCGCACTACTCCGACCTTCAGCCAATTGAACTGGTTTGAGCCATCGTAAAGGGCGATGCTGGACGAAGGCGCAAGGAAATGACGAAGTTTCAAGAAGTTAAGGCCCGCATTGAGACGGCTGGTCGCTTGATTAATCCAGAATTTCTAACGTCGCCAATCGGACAGCATCATTAGTATGATGTCAATTCCCATACAAACGATATGTAATTTATCAATTAATACTTACCGTATTGAGTAGACACGATAATCAATCCAGATATTTGACAATCGCCAGCGTCACGGACAGCGTCTTTGGCATTCCTAAGATGGAGCTTCAACACACCCATGTCAACAACAGGTACCTGACTGATGTGCGCGAAGTGTCCGCATCAGTTCTGTGCCGCTTCGTTGAAGGAAGTGTACTAATTGTAGCAGGAATTGCAGTTGTTTTCCCTCGTGTGGTTTTACAAGTACATCTTCCACAGAAATTTTGTGTCGTTTTAACAAACTCATTCACACCATAACATATACCACTGCCTCGTGTCAAGCTCGATTTGATGTCTGGGGCTTTGTTCCTCGTTCGGCGGGAAGTTACATTCGCCTTGCAGTTGCTCTTGGTTGCATTTAAGACATCAACACCGATTCCAGTAGTACACGCAATTTAGATCCAATTATTGGCTTAGAAAGTCTTTTGAATGGCTTGGAACAAGTTTTCGGTACAGACTAGATTATCAACAGCACAAAGTAACTCAACAAATTGTACATTTTTTTATGACTAAGGACTCACTGAAAGACCTAGTTTGTTGACTCCGTATGAAAACTACTCAGTTTTGGATTAATGCCAGGAAGTGATGTGTTGACATAAGGAGGGTAGCTTCGCATACTGCATGGAGGACTGAGATATATAGCATCAGAATTTCACACAAATGCTGCATAGAGGACTTGCAACCAGATTAGTACTACGCTAGTATTGTACCTTAGTAGGGGAATTCATGGAAAACTCCTGCCATCGACAGACAGACTCGACACGCGCAAGCCAGTCTTTGACAAGTCCAAGTCATTTGTGCACACGTGCATGTTAGCCAAAAAAAATATACTTCCTCTGTTTCGGTATGAAGTATACTTTTTCGTAGAAACTTCAGAAGTCAGTCAATATTCCGTTAAATAGAGTCAAAATGGCATAAATGAACAGAGGAATCATCAAGGAATACGCCAGTATTTTCAGATATTTTGTATTCACCACCAAGCCTGAGTAATGATGTTTCAAACATCAAAAATACAAAACACAAACATAAAGAACACCGTAACTCAGTCAATTCTGCTCCAATCGATCTGAAACCAAGCGCAATTCTCGAGGAGCTACGCAAGTTCTGCGATGCCGTCGTCCACGACGACCAAACGGTTGACGGATGCTCAGCGCACCGACATCTACATTCGTAGGTCGCTGCTCAAGGCCGACGGCCGTATCAAGCATGGCGAGCTTGTTGAAGATGCAAATCAACTTAACGACTCCTGCTATTCCGACATTGCAAGTGAGTGAAGGTACAAACATTAACGTGTGACAGAACACGTCCACTGGTGAGTGTAGATTGATAGCTTGAAAGGTAAACAACCAATTTACTTTCCAATTAGCAACGATTTACTCAAGTGCAATTAACATCAGAGCTCAAGAACGTCTGCGATGAGTTCAAAGTCACCAAGGAGCACTGGCCAAGGTTTGGAAACGCCTCTGAGACACGGGAGGTGGACGGCATGGTTGATGTGCGTTCCATGATCAAGGCCAACAGTGGGAGGCCACGTAAGCTGAACTTGGCTGAACTCGAAGCGAGGATCAAAGGTACCCCAGCCTTCCAGCGCTCGACGTTGCGCTCTCTTGTCAAGGCCAGAAAAAGAATGCATTGCTCAAAAAGGGTCCTTTGCTGCCTCAGTTGGAGTGCGATGACGAAGTTAGCGCGGCGTTGGATGCAATGGGGGAAAGAATTGACTTTGAATGTCGTGTTGACATTCTCAGTGACCTCTTCGACAACGGTTATCAGTTTCAAGACGAAGCCGACTTGTCCAATGTGGAATCTATTTGCTCTCAATTAGTTGGTGTCGAGTTAGTTTCAGATGAGTAATAAATGTATGATATCATGCAGTCTCTGGTCGTAAAACAGCAATTTTGAATAAAAATACAGGTCGACGAACCTAACTTCTTATTTCATTGCTTTACATACTTTCATATAAAATTCACATTTATATAAAGGTGGACTTCATTGTGGAACAGAGGAAGTATCACTATTGACAGTCCGCGAAGGCATCCGGGGACCAAGGTTAGGGTTGTGTGAATATATTCCTTTTGACAGTAGTCCACTTACACGAATATAATACCTTCCAAAATTTCATGTTATGCATTTATAGAGGATATTATTTGTCGTTGTGGAAATTGCATTGACAGCGATGTTTCGTGCAACATATCTAACAGTTTATCGTTTCTCAAGTAATACTTTCAATGAATGATTTTTTGATGCCAGTAAGCTCATGAAGCATACAAAATTTCAAAAGAAAAGGCAATCTGGCTTGTGAGATACGAATGAAGGTCCCTCGGACGCCTTCGCGGACTGTGAATACGCGTGATGGATAAAAAACACAGGAACAAACCCATACCCAAATACTACGGGTCGATGAACGGACTCTGCTTGGAGAGCGACTACTCGTACACGTCTGGCAGCACAAGTGTAACCGGCTCATGCAACAGCAAGTCGTGCACCAAGAAGAAGCTCAGCATCGGCGAGACCGTCCTCGTGATGGGTGAGCAGGTGCTGGACGAGGTACTCAAAATGCAGCCATCGTAGGTGCTGGTCGAACTACGAAGCCGGTGTGGTCGAGTATTGCCCCGGGATGTACTCGGACCACGCCGTCATCGCTGTGGGTTACGACGAGGGCTCGTACAAGCTCCGCAACTCGTGGGGCGCCGACTGGAACGAAGCCGGCCACATCCTAGTCAAGCGTGGGGTGAGCGGCAGAGGCGTGTGCAACGTTGCCGAGTTCGTCGTTTTCCCCAAAATCGAAGGCAGCACGCCCACCAAGTCGCCGTCCCCCGCGACTACACGTAAGCCCACCCCGACGACTCCTCAACCGGACTTGTGCGCCGACTGCATCGGGTGCTTCTACCCTGACGCGAACCAGTGTTTGACTGCCGAGTTTACCAAGGATGCTTGCGACTTCCACAGTGCTAAGTTTGGCACGGTGTGGTGTGGTGACAGCCCTACTCCTACTCCCAAGCCCACCTTAAGTCTTGGCTGTGGCACGTGCGACGTGTGTTACGATCCGGCCGCTGACCAATGCTTCGAAAGCATCAGCAAGAACGACTGCCAAGCCTCGGCCTTAACCAAGGGCTATTTGTGGTGCGGCAAGTGATTGGTAAAGCCTTGCCGCCTGCGTGCATGATCGTTTGTGTGTCGCCGCCGTAGGAGTTAACTCTCTCGAATATTGCCGTCATGATCAGCTGCTCGAATCGGATTCTCGGCTTCGAAATGAATCCGCTTTTACCGGCCTCGTGTGTGATTAGACGAAAGAAAGACAACGTAGGGGGAGGCATCTCCAGCATCGGTACTTGGTTACCATGGCTTCGTGAACTTCCACTCGCAACCGCAGTTGGGGCATCGCCGTCCCGATCGAGTCATTCTCATCGCGAGAATGAATGGATCATGTGGCCCTTCCATGGCGATTTCCATGCATACTATTGCGAGATGACGGTGGTCACTCATTCAAACGAAAGCACCGACGGTGCTTTGCTGTAGCATGGATCATGTGGCCCTTCCATGGCGAAATGAATGCGCGCAAATGCGAGATGACGATGGTCCTTCATCCAGACGACAGCACCGACGGTGCTTTCTGTCAAATTCAACGACCCTCAACAATGTGTTGTTGAGTGGCAAGTGCTCTCAAGTCTCTCCCGATGTGCCACTTCTGTTACAAGCAAGCCTTTGTTGCCCATGTTAAAAAGGCCGACCGCGTTCAGCAAATTCTACTGGAGGCGCTCATGAAGTCCAACGCCGCGCCTCGATATGCTGCCCCAATCCAACCGACTCAGCCTTCACATTACGCTGTTTCATACTCGATGGCCTATGCACCCGTTCAAACGCAGTCAGCTTCCCCACCTGTCATGAAGCCTCAGTCCAACCAAAACAGCAAGCGGACTCAGCTAGTTATGCTCCTTTCGTGATCTCGACCAAACCCGACGTCGTCATCTCAAGTGGAGTGAAGGTGTGCGAGCGTTGCGATCGCGCTGGACATGGATCGATTGACTGCCCCCGCAAACACGTGCGTTGCAAACTTTGTCACGAATCCGGACACTACTCGGGCAAGCACTGAAGACACATACTTCCTCAATCTTGCGCTACTCGTGGTGACGCCGAGAATATCCGATCCTGAAGTTCAGCCCTCTGAACTTCCTATTAATTTGTGCACTTACGTCTTCCCCCGTGTGTGACCGTCACAACAATGGATGCCTCTTGGAATGTTCCGTCTTCGAAAAGCCCGGGTCGTATGGGTGCACCCGTCCATCCGTCAGATCGATGCGATATGCGTTTGCGTTTGCTGGGGGTGGTTGCTTTCTCGTGTGTCTCACGGCGGTGTCTAGGTTTGACAGCGGGTGTTCTATGACCACAGCGGCGTGACGAGGGTGGGGCTGCGGTGGGTGTGTTTTTGATTTGGATACCATGGACGATGGTGAACGAGTTGAAGAGGGACATTGGCTTGGGCATGAGTAGAACCGCATGTTGGATCCCCGGCTGAACCACGCCCATACTCTCTCGAGTCATGGTAGTGCTTGCCGTGGGTTTCTCTTCCTTGGTTTGCCAACTCGCGTCGGCCACAGCCGTGATCACGCAAGAGGTAAGAGTCAAACGCGTGACAGAAGTCGCACAAGGGACAAATAAAAAAACGCCAGCCCAGCCGTGGAAGAGGCGAATACCATGAGCGTTATCTGAACCGTGGACGTAACCACAGTCGTGGACACGATCAGCGTCGCGCAAACGATTTCGAACATCAAGGTGGTGGCCTGCCCGATCATGGAGGATATCATGTCGACCACAGAGGTCAAAATAATGGTGGCGGATTTCCACGTAAGGGTGGCTACGGCCCTGCGCGAGGCAATGTCAGCCAGGAACCAAGCGGATGGGGAACATCAGCCAATTTCAACCGGAATTCGGGATACCAAGATGCGTCAACCCGTCGAAACACGGAATCAAACCGCAGTAGTACGCCACGTGAACGAGTTCAACAACTTCAGTTTGGCGGATGGGGTGCCCCGAAGACTCATGAAAAGAGAAAGCCATCTAATGATCGTCAATCCAACAGATCTGCCTACTCTGCCGAGATACAAACGCACCCCGACAAAGAATTGCACATGGCGACAGCTAATCAAGCCCCCTGCAAAGCAGCGCGTAGGTGCTAATGTTGGAGAAGTGCACGAAACTCAGGTGCAGAACTTCAGCAAGACCTGGAAGGTCGCAACACATTTCAGCTACCATCTGCACCGGAAGTGCTTGCACAAGAAATGGGGATACAATGGATGCGTGTGTACGTAAATCACAATGGTACCTACCACCCAGCCTTGGCCGTGCGAATTATGAGTGCTGAATGGGCTGATGGAATTCGGAAAGAATTTCAAATTGCGCGCTACTACTCACTCGTGAACGGTGGAACTACCTATACTCGACTCAAACACCTTTCAGCCAACACAATGTCTGATCTGTGGCGGACTACAACAGTATATGGCGTGCTCAGAACTGACCGAAGACAGCCGTGATCGAGTTCGATGGATGTGGGCATGGGTGCGCATGCAATATTTGAGAGACCCAAAGATCCACAAACACTAGAAGAAGCACAGAAGATGCGTAAAGCAGTGAATCGCAAGCTGCGTCGCATTTACGCGAATGAAGACTTCAATAGTGCGGCTACGTTGAACGGGGTACTGGAAGTACCATTGTGTGCCGGCTCAGGCAGTGACGTCAACATTATTTCGATGGAGATGCTGGAAGCACTCCAGGTGACGGACACGAAAGTCCTGTCGGTCAAACTGTTGGAATCCTGGAAAGGGTTTGCTGTGGAAAGCACTCCCATCTACTCCAACCAAGTGGTCAAGATTCGAATCCGACTACAGACTCGGCGGTCGTCAATCTATCTGGCATTTAGCCATGCTACGTGATTAGCAAGAGCGATGCGCTTCTTGTCTCACGGCCAGCACTCGAATCTTTAGGCATCAACATGGATCGATTACTGGAACAAGTCACAACGCATCAGTTCATGCGTTACGCCAGGAAGGCGGCGACGACGTGGGAGTACCCGACGGACGGTGATGAAGACATTGCTTTTGGGGTGGCGACTCGCCGACTACAAATTGGCAACAACGAACTGGACAAGGACGATTTATATGCTGCAAGAGAATTGTATACTAACGCGTTGGAAACGCTCAAGTTGATGGATGATGGCTATGAAGAAATACTAAAAACAAGTTGGAAACTTGCGTCATGAACGCGGCCCGCGAAGGCGTTTGGCGAATAAAGTTCCGAGGAACGGATGCTGCTGCCAACGTACCAGCGCTGGAGATTAAGCAAGAGCGATGCCAGACTCCCCGCTGCCAGGCGCGCAAAACGATCCCGTTAGAAACAAAATATCTGGATGCATTCGGAAGCCAACTTGAAGAATATGGTATCATCTACTCGAACTCATCATCAGCCTACTGTAGTCCAGTGAATCCGGTGCTGAAACCTGGAGGCAAGAAAATGCTCAAAGCCAGTGACGAATGGACGGCAGAGAAACTGCTGTTGCATTATCGACTCACGACCGACTACCGTGTGGTGAACAGTATGACTGTCGCCATGTTTGGTGCGATGCCATTCCAATTCATCGTGCCGGAAGACGTCAAAGGAGCGAAATACATTGGTATTTTAGATCTCACAAAGGCATTCTAGCAATTACCCTTGGGACTCAATTCTCAAGAAATTCTGTCGTTAATGCTAGCTTTCTGCGTAATGACGCAAACTGATATCATGCAAGGATTCTGCGATAGCGCCCTATTTTTCCAAAGCACCATGACAGAATGTTTGAAGACCCTGCTCTACAAGAATTGTCTCGTATGGATTGATGAGCCCGTGAAGCTGTACAACGCGCCTGCGTTACCGCGTGCACCAACGTTTAAGGGGTCTACGAAGGCCAAGCAACATGCGTTCATGAGCGAATACCAGCGATACACGGCGCAAGTCATGCCTCAGCAAACGACCGAACAACGGCATTTGTTATGTCAGTTGGCGCTTGCTTGGATCATTTTTCTAAGTGCCGGATCGTTTTGTTTTGACTTGGGAAAGTTCCTTGGTGATGTGATGGAGCAAGAGTGGGTGGCCTGATTTGAGGAGGCCCACGGAGAAGAACCCGTCGAGCAGGATGCGCTGAAGAAACGCCTTCAGAGGGCTGTACAGTTTGAAGTCAAGATCTTGACGCCGACAGACACGTGAGTCGAATGCTCGACAACGAGTCGTGATTCTTGTCACACCAGTTTTGCTGACGAACACACCGATTTTGCTGACGCACACACCAAATCCTCAAAAACTGCTGTGAAGTGTCCA